ACGTCACACAGTCTCACCTGGACCTCCACTAAGAAGCCATCGTTGAAGGTTCCTCTCAGAATGAAATTACGAGACGTCCCAACCAGAAACTCGTCCCCCTTCCCCTCTGAAACGGCTCTGATGGTTCCGTACTGATCCGGGACCTGTGGACGCAGACAGTCATGTGACCTCAGTCTGAGCAACGTGGCCTGAAGTGACGGCATCTAAACGTTCACATTTACGACTAAGAAAATCAAACAGCAGGAAATCTGAAGGATAAACGCAGCACAACCTGTTGTGTATCTGTGTTGTGTGTATCTGTGTTGTGTGTCTCTGTGTTGTGTGTGTGTTGTACGTCACCTCGATGTCTCTGTCTGCTCTCAGCTCGTGGTCCCAGAGGATGATCCTTCGGTCTTTGCCTCCTCCGGTCAGCAGAGCGCCGCTCCTCATCTCACACAGACAGAACACGCTGCCTTCATGGGCTTTGACCTGCCGGCTGATCTGAAAGGCTGCACACAAAGACACACAAAACACACACACACAGAACATCTGCTTTCAATATTTGTACTGTTTCATGTGCTGCTCGCTTGTTGACTTTGGTTTTTTCTGTATTGACACTCAGACCTCAAAGAAGAAGTTTAAGATTGAGTTTTATTTGAGACCAGTTGCCGTCTGATTTCTTTTTACTGTTTAAACACAAACATAAGAAACATCGATGAGCTCAAGTTCCCCACTGAATGAATCCACATCATACTGAATCTGATGTCTGAACATGAACAGGGACAGGGCATGAGGTTCAAACAGCTCTAGGCTTCATGTTTTCTGTGGACATTAAAGTCTGAGAGTTTTGAAGGTTCCAGCAGCAGCCAGCAGGAGGCAGCAGAGCACAGAGGAAGGACTCCCTGAGTAAGCCAATCTGCTGCTGCAGTTTCATTCTGTTTAAACTTCATTTGTTGACTGTGTTCGACACCTTTAAATGTCCAACACTGAAACGGACTGAAGCTGGACCCTCTGTGAACTTCTGATCTGGTCTGAAACGTTAGAGCCTGACGCCCTGATGAGCTGATCTGACTACAATGGAGAACTTCAGTGGAAAAACGTTTAATTCTTGGCATCACTCCTCTTAAAACCAGTTTGACAACATGGCACTAAAACCATTACTGTAACTGGGCCAACACTCCGCTGCTGCTGCTGCTCTCTGTGGTTTTTCCTCCAGCGTTAAACTGATCTCAGGTCTGAACAGGATCAGTTTCACAAAACTATTAAAGTTTCGACTGTGTACTTTTGTTTCAGCGACTCCTAATTTCCCTGATGGAAATCTACAGTTTGGCAGCTGAGACTGAACTGTTAATAAAGTATGCTACGTACACCTTATCCTGGAATGCTGCAGGCCTAAAACCTGTCAGGATTGATCCTCTACCTGGTGGATCACTGACAGAAACAGTGCAGAAATAACAAATATAAGAAGCTAATCCTATTTCTTTAACAAGAGAAATGTGTTTGTGTCCCTCTGAACATGAAAATAGAAAACCGTCTCAGCTCCTGTTTCCTTTCGCTGCAGAAACTGTCGAAGCAAAAGAAGAAATGAATCCTGACTCTAAACATGTGTGATCCAGTTGCTGTCATACATACGCCCAGAAACTGTGCTCAGGTTCACAGCACCAACACGCAACAACAGTTCCCACCTCTGGGTCCCTTCCCGGTCGGGGTCTCAGCTGAGCTTCTGGTCCAGACCAGCAGAACTCCTCCAGAGTCTCCGGTCAGAATGTCTCCAGTACTCAGGAAGGCCAGACACTGAACAAACTTCGGCTTCTCGTATTTCTGTAAACACAACAAAAGCTGTTAGACCAGAACTGCAGAGCTAGACCAGGATTACGGAA